GGGTTTGAACTCGGCTCTAAGGTCGAAGGTTGTACGCGCGGAATATACATGTGGGATACTCCTTTTATTCACGAAGGGAAGCGCGTAATAGTACTTGATTGTGAAGGAATAGACGATCCTAAGCAAGATCAAGCCTGGGCTGTTAAACTTTTTATCATCTGTTTGATTGTCTCGTCAACTTTCATTTACAATATAAACGGGATTGTTGGAAGAGATGATATCGGAAAACTCTATCTGATGACGGACTTAAGTAAATTTATTCAACCACCAGCTGATTGTGATTTCTTACCAAGACTAGTAGTCTTGTTGAGAGATTTTCAACTAGACGAACCCGAGGACTTCAAGAAATATTTTTTTGATAAGTTAAGCAATGTTAATGAAGAAAGTATGTAACTATTCGGATATTTTCAATTATTATTGCATGCAACGTTAATATAACTTAATTTTTGACTAATTCATTAATAGTCGCCAAAGCAATAGAAGATTATTTTGAGGATTTCAATGTCTTCGGGTAATCAATCTATTTATATATTTAAAATTTTAAAAATAGTTAATTTTTGAAACTTTTAACCAACCTTTAATAAATATAAATAAAAAAAGCTTACCGGCAAGTTGTAATCTATATTATGCATGATATTGATTCGTTTACGTTTAATCCGAAAGCTAACATAGCGGTTAATTAACAATAGCATCCCGGGTGTAGTCGTTCTCAGTTAAGGAATCTTGATAATGTTTCAACAGAAGACTTAGACGAGGAATTTATTACGGAAGTAACAAAAGTTGTACAATCTATCTATTCTAACGTCAATCCCAAATACATTGGTTCATCTACCATGACTGGGATATCACTTGGAAAATTCCTGGTAAATTGTATCGAAAAGATGAACGATCCCGAAAATTCTCAACAACTATCCATTCCATCTGAATATGAGACTATCATTCAATACATGGCAATCCAAGCCACTGAGAGAAGTATTGAAATTTATGAGGCGGGGATGATTAATGATGTAAAGGAAGAAAATCTACCATTACTATGGGACAAATTTAACGAAATTCATAATCATCACTTGGACCAAGCTCAAAATGAATTCTTTAGTAAGGTTATTGGTTCACCAAAGCAGATTCCTGAATTTACCGAAGAATTGAATGTTAAAATTGGAAAAGTTCGAGAAAAGTATGTCAAGAAAAATTCCGAGGCACTTTATAAGTATAACTTAGAGTTGGCGGCTCGTCTTTGGAAAACCCATATCAAGAGTAGACTAAATAGAGAGAATTTATTCAAGGTAAAATTTGCTTGTCAGTCCTTTATTTGTTTGTGAGAGTATATTGAAATGCGATTTTATTTATTTATCATAAGAGCAAAAATGAATTTGATGAGGCGGAGGAAGCTTTTAAGATTGAATATCGAAACCAGATGAAAGCATCACCGGAAGCCGGAACTGCATTCACCGACTTTCTAGATAATAATTATGATCAAGCACTAGAAACGCTTATTCAACTTGGAACACTAAAGGAAGAGCAAGCCAAAGCACTCCGTGAATTAGAAGAAATTCAAAAAGAAAATATTAAGGCTCAAGAGAGAGTTGTCTCATTGCAATCTGAGATTGAACAAAGTACATTGGAAAGAAAGCAACAGACAGAAAAATTAGAACAGAAAATGAATAATATGATCGAAAATATAGATAAACAAAGAACCGAAAATGATGAATTGAAAAAGGCAATAATGGAACAGCAACAAAAAGCGTTTGAACATCAGATGCAAATTACAGCTGAAAGGGAAAAGTACATGCAGGAAATGATGCAAAAAGAACGAGAGGCTTCGGCAGAGCGTGAGAAATTATTGACAAGATTAGCAGACCGACCTAGTGGTGATGATGGTGGTTGTGTAATGTTGTGAGAGAAATTATTGCAGCATTATAGTCGCTTTTAAGTTTTGATCTTTATTATAACGATAATTAAATGCATATTTTATCTTATTAATTAGTGACTTTATCAATAAAAGTGATGTTTTTAAAAAATCGGAGTCCGTGCACAACGAAGCATTCGCAAAATCAAAAGAAATTTGGTTTAAGAATTTTTCATGCACTAATCAATTAACATAACGCCGCAATATAATTAAATATAAACGGTTTTACTGGTACAAGTGCAAGTTAATAATAAGATTTTGTAATGAATAAAAACTGTCTAACGAATAGGAAATTTTGAACGGTTCCCAAAGCTGAAGCTCTGACAATAATATTATAAATGAAAGGTTAAACTGAAAATGTAACATAAAAAAATGCAATAATAATACAAAATTTTACTTACAGTAAATAATTATTTTATAAAAAAATGAGTTCTCATAATACATTTTATCTAAAAAGTCTGAACAAAAATTTTTAATGACTTAATAAATATTTAATAAATATTTTACAAATAAATGTAAAAGTTTTATAATACGCTTTGTTTGAAAGAATAAAGTTATTTACAAAAAAAAATTTTATATATATTGTAAATTAATATAAATTTTAAAATTTTTTTAAAAATATTAATATTAAAAAACATTTTAAAATAAATAAATCAATAAAAAATTGATTTAATAAATATAAATATTTTGAATTTAAATTTTTTAATTTTAAAAGTCTTTAAAATTAATTTTATAAAATAAAAAGTAAAATAGTTTTTATAATATATAATTTTTAAAGTTTTAATTTCACTGATTCTCTAACTATATACAAAAAAGATGATTGCAAGAAGTTTTTATACTTTTTTATTAATAAAGTCTTAATACTTTCATTAAAACTACTTGAAGTATGACTTCAAAATTGTTTTATACTTTCTTTCTTGTTTATAAACTTCTTTATTCAAAAACTTGACTTCTAATAATCAAGAAAAGTCAAGTAAGACCTTTAATATCAATAGTAAGAAAGTTCTCAAAGAAAAAAAAACTGACTGTAAAGTATCTGAAAAGCTTTCTAATCTTTGAAGTAAGGGGTTTATAGAGATTTTCTTTATAAAAAGACTTATTTTCTCTTTTTTTTGACTGTCTTAATCTTCTTAAAGCTTCTATTTTCACAGTTTTCAGAGAAATTTTGCCTATCTCAATTTCACCTTGAATTTTTAATAGCATAAATTTTTATAAAAATAATTGTATAACATAAAATACATTAGTTTTTAGAATACAAACAAGCTTCTATTGATTATATTCCTATGTTTCTGTAATATTATTGAAGATTGAAAAGAAAAGTTTATGAAAAAGATATATTTCAACTGAGCAAGTTTTCAAGAAAAATAATTATGATATTAAAAGACAAGTAAAAGATATGAAATATAGTATCCCTATTTCTTAATCAAGTTTCTCAAATAGTGAGAATGCATTTTCAGAAAAAAAACTGAGGTCTTAAGCTTTTACTCAGATCATGCAAAGTTTTTGCAAAGTCTTTTTTTATTCTAATCAGTTTAACTTTACTATAATATGGTAATAAGTGAATCCATATATCAATAGAAGAATAAGTTCTTCAAATATTTTTCTTGAAGTCTCAATACTTAAGAATGGATAAGTTTTTTGGATAATCCAAAGTTTAAAGAATATCCCAATAGGTAGGAATTGCAATTTTTATTTAAACTGAATGATTCGTGGATTTAATCCAAACAGATCAAATCAGATTTTAAAATTTCTTGATCTATTTGTATTCGAATCAGATATGGATTTCAAATTTTAAAATTTGATTTGATCTGTTTAGATCAAATTCATGGATTATTTAGTTTCAGATAAAAATTATGATTTCTAGTTTAAGGTCATGGTAGAAAGGATTTTTAGCAAGAAATACTGATGATTCATTTTAAATTTTATTTTTTTTGTTGTATTGTTTAATGTATTGTTGGAATGATATTTATTGTTTATACTTTTTCTAAGGTAAAAAAATTTTTTAATGAAGCAAGCAACCTGTATGTTGTAGCACTTATATAATAATACTGTTATAACATTTAATATAATACTGATGTAGACCAATTGATGCAAGTTGCTGTAATTGTGTGGGTAGATAGTAATTGTTAAAAATCGATCGATACAAAAGTGATCTATAGTAGAGAAACATAATTGGACAATAAATAAAAAAAAACTTTTTTTGATTTTTTTATTGATTTTTTATTTTGCTTCTTTTTACTTTTATCACTTCACCATCTCTGCTGTCAGGTATTTTATCTAGGAATCTTTTTTTTACCTGCAAATGTTTTTTTCCTGTTTCTTGCTATTTTTCAAGAAAATGTATACACCTCTTTATATATTGGCTAAACAATTGATTTTATTTAAATATATACAACTGTCTGTCACCACATAACTATAATGAAGATATATTTTTACCACTTGCTAATGTTTTTACAACTGTTACATTAACTGCCTTTACTTTTACTGCAATTGTATACTCAGTTCTTTTTTTTTTTAACTAAACAAACTGGCACCTTTTCGACTATTTTAACAGGTATCTTTTATTGACCAAATAATCTGTCACCTTAATTTTCAATCATATCTTTACATTGATTCACTGTTTGTATTATATTTATAGCTAAATAAGCATAAGGTATTCGATATTTTGTTTCTGCTGTATCTTATATTTATTTAAAACACTGATATAAATAATACAATACATGTCTCAAAGAAACAGAAACAGATCGAAGCTAATGGTGAGTAAATCGATCAAAGGAAAAGAACAAAAACCAAAAAGCCTTTTACCTGACGAGTCTATAAAGTTGTCTCCAATAGGAAACCTTGGACTAATACATGTAGGCTGGTTTTCGTAAAAGTGTAACTAGCTGTAGTCAATAAAGTTCGATATTGCCTTCAGTAGAAAATCCTGAACTAATATATTAAATTTTGTCGATAAAATTCTAGGCAAGCTTAAACCTGTTACATTGCTATTACTACCTCTAGTAGAAAATCCTGGACTAAAGCAGAACTCTTGAAAACATTTAAGCAGACATTTGTATAGTCACAAGTTAGATTGTCAACAATTTAACTTGTAGCTAGGCTGTTGTACTGACAAGTTGTATATGTATATATATATATATATATTTTTTTTTTAACCCACAGTCAGGTCAGCATGGCTTGTCTTTATTGTATATATATCAGATATTTATAAATTATTTTG